CATCTATGCCTCCTGCCAGCCACCTCTCTGAAACTATTTAACTCTGGCCCTACCCCCTGAGGCTTAGGACAGTGGCCATAGAGGGAGGAGAGGCGTCAGGGAACCAGTACCTGCTCAGTTCCTCCGGCTCCTCTGGGCTTGGGTCCTGCAGCAGAGGTGGCGGTGGGGGTGACAGGTGGGGGACAGCGCCGTGGGCAGGGCCTTTGGATCCTGGCTCTCTCCCCCTTTTGCTGGCTTCTCTGAGCTGCAGTCCTGCTGCCTGGCTTTCATGTACCTGGAAGCATTTCTGTCTTTCATCTAAAGAGAAAACAGCTCACTGAGAGCCAGGCAGGTGGCCGTGGGCGAAGAGCGGCCAGTGGTACCGGAGCCAGCAGGGTGAGAGACTGTGGTTGAGTGGACCTGTGCCTGAGTGGATGGCTTCTTGGGGGCAGCCTGGGACCCAAATTAGGTTGACTGGTGGCCAGTGGAGGCTACAGGGTCCTGAGTCTATGGAGTAACAGTCTGTAGAGGGCAAGTGAGGCTCAGCCAGGCCTGGAGGCCACTCGGACAGTAAGCTGGGGACAGAACAGTCTGGCCATCATCTTGTTTCTAGTGGCTCTAGCTGGGATATTCTGTATATTATCAGTGTTCTGAGCCTCAGTTTCCTTAGTTGCGAAGTGGGTTCCACAATTTCTTATAAAAATAGAATTTATAGCCAGGTGTGGTGGCGCACGCCTTTAATCCCAGCACTCGGGAGGCAGAGGCAGGCAGATCTCTGTGAGTTCAAGGCCAGCCTGGTCTACATAGTGAGTTCCAGGACAGCTTGGGCTACAGGGAGACCCTGTCTCAAAAAGACCAAAAAAAAAAAAAAAGATTTTATGGAGAACCCATGCGCTAGCATCGTCCTAAGACTTTTGTATGGAGTCATCTTTTGAACTCTCATTACTTCATAGGGGGGGAATCAGGACCAGTGAGGTTGCTGGCTAGCCTCAGGATGCACTGCTCAACAGTGAGGCTGGGTTGTGTGGCCCTCAAAGATCCCTGTCTGAGTCCCCTTGGGGGATGCTGATGGCTGCTCCCTGGGAACCTTACATTTTGCTGCTCTGGGAGCCTCTTCCTCAGGCCCAAGCTGTGACATGCTGGGCCCATCTATGCACTGGTTGGCTTGCCTGCACTGGTGGGGGTGAGGGCCTGCTGCAATCCTAACCACACACGTGTGCCCCAACACACGTGCACATGTTTGTACACCATCATTGCTCCCACTGTACAGAATGCTCCCTCAAATACCTAAGATATGACTTAAATGTCACCTTGGCGGGGCCTCCCTGTCCCCTGCCTCACACCCTGCCTTTGCCTCCTACTTTTTATTTTCCTTTTTTTTAAAGACAAGAGCTCACTATGTAGCCCAGGCTAGCCCAGAACTCCTGGCAATCCTCCTGTCTGCAGTTGCAGGTATGTACCCCCATGCCCAGCTCCTTCTGTTCTTTACCCCACTGGAAATGCTTCTGATCTCCTCAGCTTCATCCTCCCACAGCTAGGCAGGAGCCCTGGGGAGCGAGGGATGTGTCCACTGGCTCAGAAGCACTCAGTGCTAGGTTGCAGCTCTGTGGCTGTTTGCAGAAGGAGCATGCCACGCCTGTGTACCCAGGCTTGCACGTGTTCCTGCACATGCATGCACACATTGATGCAATGGAGAATCCAGCTTCATTGTTGCTGAAGACGGAAGCAGGTTTTGGAGAGAGAGAGAGAGAGAGAGAGAGAGAGAGAGAGAGAGAGGGAGGGAGGGAGGGAGGGAGGGGAGAGAGACTATCTCTATCTAGGTGGCCCTGTTAAGGAACACTTTGCATAGCACCTTCTACCTGACTCCCAGGATACCTTGGGTGGGATGAGTCACACACCTCTGCTTCTCTCTGCACAGCACAGCAGGGGGCTTAAATTAAAGGAGATCTTGGTGATGTGGGTAGGAGGCTGAGGGGACCCTGGAGGACCCAGGAGGACTTTCTGGAGGAGGTAACGTCTGACCAGGCAGTGCGTGCAGGGAGGTTTGGGTGTGATGAGATGGGTCATGGGCTCTGGCTTCTGCCAGAACCCTGAGAGGGATGGGGCTGCTGAGCCTGGTGGCTATGATGTTGGCCCCCCCTTGCCCCCCCATCAAAGCATGCCTCATAGCCAGTGAATGCTCTGTGTGTGGTCAGGGCAGGGGAGGCTGAGGGAAGTAGCAGGCATCTCTCTTGGCTGCTGTTGTAAGAAGTAGCGTCTCTGAGGAGAATGTCAATTGAGGGTCCCCTCCCCTTCCAGCTGGGCTTTGCAACAGAGAGAGAGCTGGGCAGGAGGGGAGGGCACAGCCCCACTTGCCTGGCTGTCTGGGTCAGCTGCTGCTATAGACTCTTAAGACAGGCCCCTTGTCCTGCGAGTGCCCTGTCCCTCCCCTCCTCCTCCCCTACTCCAGGGGCAGGTAGGAAAGAGGGAGCCTCTGACAGTGATGAGGCTGTGGAGGAAGCTGGGGTGCTTTCAGAGAGGGGTAGGTCTGGGAGGAAAAAGGCTGGCAGAGAGCAGGGGATGCTGGGACAGGGCAGGGAGCCACATACAACATTGCAGAAAGTCACAGGCCCTGTTCCCAGGGGTCCTGTGGATCCCTCATTCCTACCAGCAGCTTTTTATAACCCCACTCTGCAGCTGCAGAGACTAAGGCCTGGGGAAGGGAAGGAACTGAACTGAGCTTTCCTAGCTAGAGAGGGACAGAGCTGGACTTGAACCCCAAACCTCAGCCTGAAACCTTTGGAAGGAGCTCTAGCACCTGTGAGCTAGTGGGGAAGAGGGGCTGGCCTCCTGCCGTAGGGGCTGTTGGGACAGCCCAAGGCCCTGTTATCCTGCCATCCACCCATAGGTACACCTTGCAGGAGTCCCATGCTGGTTCATCACTTGTGTGGTAATGGGGTGCATGCGGTGAAGTGGAGGGCCATACACTTGGCTCACTCTCTGGGTGTGGGTCTGGGTCTGAAGCTGCTGAGAGGGGCTGGGCTCACTGCGGCTGGGACTGCCACTGGGATACCCAGGGGTCTATCAATGGGAGGGGGAGACAAGGGCAGAGAGGCGCGCATCAGGAGGGAGTGGAGACTCAGCACGAGATGCCTACTCTTTGGCGGTTGCTGAGGTCCAGGACTTAGAGGAAGCCTGAGTGGATGGGCCTCATCCCAAGGGTCCCACCCCTGCCCCAGCTCCACATTCATGATGTTTTTGTTGGATTGGTGACATATATAACAATCTTCTCTGGAACATAGACATTTAGATTATTTATTTATTTGCCTTTTTTTTTTTTTTTGAGACAGGGTCTCCCTGTAGCCCCAGCTGTCCTGGAACTCACTATGTAGACCAGGCTGGCTTTGAACTTACAGAGATCCGCCTGCCTCTGCCTCCCAAATGCTAGGACTACAGGCATGTGCCACCACGCCTGGCTGTATTTATTTATTTTTTATGTATATGAGTGTATTGCCTGCATGTATGTAAGTGCACCCATGTCATGCAATGCCTGTGGAGGCCAGAAGATGGCATCAGATCCCCTGGAACTGGAGTTATAGATGGTTGTTAGCTGCCGTGTGGGTGCTGGGAACTGAACCTGGGTCCTCTGCAAGAGTAGCCAGTGCTCCTGGCCCCTGAGCTACCTCTCCAGCCCAAACATGGACCTTTTAGACATACACAGAAGCACAGCAAATAGGGCAGCAGGTCCCCATGTGCCTGGCAGTGAGTGGCTGTCGTTCTCAGCCGACTGATTCGTTTTTCCTTCTGCTGCACTGGGATTCTGTGAGGCAGACCCGGACATCACCCTGTCACCTCCTCCCTAATGGCTTAGTATGAATCTTTCAACAATGGTCTCCAATTGGGACAGTCTTTTCCTCTGGGACATCTGACTATGTCTGGAGTCATTCCAGCACTCACAGCAGGGGGCGGAGGTATTCCTGGCGTGTGTGGTATGGACTGGGTCTAGGTAGACATCCACAGGGCTCAGGGCAGCCTTCTCCAGAGGCTGCTTCCTTCCCTAGCCCTGTTGTATGTAATCCATTTGGAACAGGGGGTTGGGGTCTCCCAGGAGCTGGAGAAGAGGAACGTACAGTGAAGAGGGTCCTCACAGCCTCTTTATCATCTTTTGGGATGACTTCAAGCACTACAGGAGGAAAGGGCCATTTAAAGGGCATCTTTGCCTAGGATACCCAGGTGTAGGGCTGGGGCTGGGTTAACCCATGGTTGGGAAGGTATGGGCAGGGACAGAGGCTTGGGGTATGCTGCAGTTGTTGGGAGGTGGGCTCTCTAGGCCCTGTTCCCAGGCGGTGAGAGACGTCTACTCTGGATACCTGGCCTACCCTTTGTGGAGATGGGGTGGCATGTGAGATGTGGAACCTGGGCTGTGTCCTCTAGCTGGGTGGGCAGGAGGGAGGAGGCAGAGGCTATAGGGAACCACGGAGACTGAGCCTTCTGGATGACCACCAGAGGGACTTGGTGGAAACTCAAGCTCCAAGTGTGCCTGTATACATGCGTGTGCGTGCACGCATGTGCGTGTGTGTGTGCGTGTGCGTGTGTGTGTGTGTGTGTGTGTGTGTGTGTGTGTCTGGGGTATCTTTGGAGATTGGCAGTCATGGACCCTGTGAGGCTGGTGAGGCTGGCTGGGAGTCTTCCTGGGGGAGCAGGCTTGGTACTGTCCTGCTGTCCTGTCTGCCCACTGCCAGCCTTGATCCTCAGGTAAAGCTTGGGTGGGAGGTGGGCAGCCTCCTTCTCTGGCTTGGGTTAGAGGCAGGACAGACCCCCACTGGACCTGCTCTGTCTTCACTCCGCGGCTAGGACCTGTCCTGCCATTTTGCTGCAGGGTCTGCCCTGGAAGAGGGCAGACAGTATCTACGGGAGGGGCAATTCTTGGTCCAGAGGTCCAAGGCTCTGCGGATGGGTGGGGGAGGTTGTTGTGCAGGCTGGGGAGCAGCTGCTCCATCTGTACATTTGTCCATCCATCCACATGTCCGTCTCACCCCCAGATCCCCCAGATCAGCTACGCCTCCACAGCCCCTGACCTGAGCGACAACAGCCGTTATGACTTCTTCTCCCGCGTGGTGCCCTCAGACACATACCAGGCCCAGGCTATGGTGGACATCGTCCGTGCCCTCAAGTGGAACTATGTGTCCACGCTGGCCTCGGAGGGCAGCTATGGCGAGAGTGGAGTGGAGGCTTTCATCCAGAAATCACGAGAGGATGGTGAGTCCCGGTGAGGATGGACCCTCTGCTGCAAGGGCCTCAACTTTTCTCGGAGCCAGGTTTGGCCTCCCAGGTGCTGTTTGCTCTTCTGTGGGTGAAGGCCTCACAAGGACATCACCCTTGTGATGTGGGCAGTCCTGTTCTCATGGGCAGGGGGAGGGAGGGAATCAAGGGACCTTACTCAAGGGGTACCAGGAATCCTGGGACATGAGTGGCCAACAGGAGGTTCTTGGAGCAGGTAATGTTCAGGGATGCAGGTGAGGTTGGGTTGGGAGCAGCTGTGGCACCCTCCCTAGTGGGTGGAGTGTGCCAATTTGGACTTCAGTGAAGGCTGGGTCCCCATGTTGGCTTCCCCTTTAAGCTGAACAAACAGCTGTCCTCACTTGCTCCTGTGACAGGTGCTCAGGAGCCACCCCCCCATGGCAGGCTGTTGGCATAGCAAGGGTTAACGTCTCCATGGGGACCCCATCTACTAGCAGGGCCCTGAAAGGGTGGGGTCATAGTAGAAGGGTTAGAGATGGAAGGCAGGTGCCTAGGATGGGGGACTGAGCTCTGTAGCTTCCTGGGGTCCCCTGAACAGGGTGCATGCAGGGAGGCCCTGGTCCCTCCTGGCAGCCACGTCCTGTGGTCTCTAAGTAGCTCACTGCTGCTCTTGACCTTGGCTGGCATATATTTATACCCGCAGGGCCCAGGCCTCTAATTGCTTTTCCTAAGACCGCAGAGTGTCCGGAGTTTGGCGGTGGTGATGCCCTGCAGGCATAATCCTGCTATAAGTCTCCAATAAGCCCCTTTAATTGTACAGGGAAGCTGCCTAGGCGTCATAGCCCAGCACAGGGGCGGCAGGAAGTGGGGTGGTGTTGGTGGATGACTGCTGGGGCCTCCTCCACTCTGTAGCCCTTGAGAGTGGGAGGCCTTGACCAGGCAGACTCCCAGTGTTCTGCAGGGGGCTGATGGATGGAATGCTGGGACCCTGGGAGACAAGAGTCAGAGCCTGGGAGCCACAATCCCCCTCCCAGGAATCCTTCTCTCCTTTGCTGGGATGACACATGGTACTGCGGGTGCCCATCCTCCCAAGGGTGACTCCTGCCCTGGAAAAGCATGCTGAATTTTTGTTGAAGACACAAATTCTGTCCTGCATGGGACACAGGACCAAGGTGCTAGGCAGTGGAAGGTAGAGGGACCAGAGCCATAGTGTTCAGTCCCTACCCTGGGGGAACCTGGAGACGTCCCCCCAGTACTCACACAGCCTATATGCTGCACCTGCTATCCAGGTGGCCCTTGTTCTATGTAGAGGCATCACCTTTTACAGGAGGGGCTGAGGCTCAGAGGAGCCACCTAGAACCTTAGACCCTATCAGACAAGAGGGGTGAGGTTTCAACCTCAGGCTCCAGGGCAAGTGGCTTCAACTAGTTCCATATCCTTTTCTACTGTGTCTTCTGTCCATGCTGTCCTGTTGCTGGGATCCATGTAGGCCAGCTGGGATGTGAGGGGCACACACCAGCTCCTGCACGTGGCCTGCAGGCACAGGAGAGGCTGGGTGGGCTTGGGACCAGCCTTGTGTTCAGCTGAAGGCAAGACTGAATTTCTTTCGTGTCTAGTCAGGTGTTGGGAAGTAGGGAGAACCAGTTATTGAAGATATTTAAGAAGGACCTGGACTGGGCATGATGGGATACACCTTTAATCACAGTACTTGGGAGGCAGAGGGATTTCTGTGAGTTTGAGGCCAACCTCATCTACACAGTGGGTTTCAGGCTAGCTGGGGCTACAGGGAGACTCTCAAAAACAACAGCTAACAACAAAAAGATCTGGAAGTCTAGAAAAGCAAGAAAACCAGTTCCTCAGCCGGCTCCCCTCTTGGTCCCTCTGTCCCTCACAAGTTCGCTGGCCACACTGTCCTATGCCTCTGAGGTCCGGCTGCCCACCTCGACCTTCCATCTTCCTGTCGTCACCTGTACCCACCGGCTGCTGAGTCCCTGTCCTACTCTGCCGTTAAATGGAATTTGATTTGGTGGGTAAAAAGAAAGGAAGAGAGCTGCCCCAGCTGGCCAAATTGAAAGCAGAATTGAGTGCTGGGAGAAAGAGGCCGCAGCACCTTGTAGCCTAATCCTCAAGAAAGATTAAAGATGTTTGTGGCCGTTATTGTATTGATTCATCCTCTGAAGGATAAGTCAGCTGGGAGGCCATGGGAGGCTTGAGGGGAGAAGAAGAGAGAGGGGGAAGGAGATTGGTGTGTCTGGTCACTGGCTGAGGATTCTCACAGAGGTGGGGAGTAGGGCAGGCCTCTACCCTGGACAGGGCTCTGGTCCTTCAGAGGAGCACGGTTTTGACTTTTCAAAGAGAAAGAGATCAGAGAGGGCAAGTGGCTTTCCCAAGGCTGTACAGCCAGACTGGAGGAGCTGGGACAGGCGCCCTCACCTGTTCACTCGTGCTTGGGGTGATCCAATGGCCCTTGATGGAGCCCAGCCTGTGCCAGCCACCTCTGCATGACCATCTGGAATTCAGGTGACAAAACTGTTAGGTCTGTCACCCTTTGATGCAGAATGGAGGTTTACAGAAATCCTCTCCTGGAGACAGAAGGCAGGGATGTGAGCCTACAGCTGCTGCATCAGGGGTTCTGTCTGAAACATGGGGTGAATTGGCTCTTCATCCTGAGACCTGCCTGAGAGGGAGGAGGAGGACGAGGGCATTTTATTTCACAACTGGTAAGTGCCAGCTCTGTGTATGAGGGGATACAGGCCATGGTCACTGCCTTCAGAGCCTTTTCCTGGGACCCAGGAAGAGTGGGTGCAGTCTGCAGGGCCACATGTGCAGAGGGGCTGACTGGAGTCCTCCTCCCTAGGGGTGTGATGACAGGTCTATGGAAGAGAAGTGATATCCTCCGGGTCATGCTCAGGGTCAGCTTGGCAGGACAACAGTCCAAGGTCCAGAGGAGTGCTGATTGGCTAAGGAGGCAAGAGCAGGCAGGTGGCAAGCAGAGAGGGTCTGGAGGCAGGACAGAGCCGGCTACGGGACCCAGCGAGGGGCCCCTGCCAAGTGCTAGCAACGTTGTGCGGGAACCCTGTGAGAGAGGGGCTGGGAGATGGATTTTGGGTCCAGTCTGCTGGGCATTCCTGAGGGAAGATGTTAACCCACACCAGCCCAACCTGCTTAAGCTCCAGGGTACCTACCTGCCTCTCATGGCCCACTGCGGGGGCTCCCTTCCCTGCAGACTGCCCCTTCTGCCTCATTCAGACAGGTTTGCTCACCTTGGTGGGGAAGTGGGACTTAGCCACCTCTGCCCAGTGGCATTCATCAACGTTTGTGGAGTGACAGGTGGCCAGCTCTTCCCTCCTGCAGGTCACTGCCTGCTGGGTGCCTTCTCTCTCTGTGGCAGGCGTGGGGCCCCAAGCATCCTTCACATAAGCACTTATTGTCATACTGCTTAACTATCTACAGACACTAGCTTAAGACTTAGGCCTGCCTCTCTGAGGGGTGCTGGGGAAGGGACCCCAAGGCTATAGGAGTGGGTGCCCAGAGGGGTGCATCGGGGTGCCTTCTTTAGGTTCCTGAAGGATCATGCCAGGTACTTGGGGGTGAAGCCTAGAAGGTGTTGTGTGAGGTAGTTCACGCAGGGCTTGTGGAAGACTAGAGGAAACTGTGGTAGCTTTAACTTGTAGTTTCTGCCTGTTGGGGCTTCAGCAGTTCCTGGGGGAGTCCCCTGGACCTCCCTACCAGCTGTCTGCCCCATGGGGAGGTAGCTGGTCATTTAGGCCACTGTGCCCTTTGGGGAGAATGCAGGAGGGGAGGGTGCCCTGCCACACTGCTGGCCCCTACAATCCTGGCTGCCCTGAGCCTCAGACCCAGCATGTTTTCCATTCCATCTGGGGCCTGATACTCTGCCATCGGACTGGCCTGGGTGCCCTTGTGGAGGTGAGAGACTCACCATGCCCTAGCTGGTGTCTTCTCTGGACTGGGGATTGGCAAGGTGTTGGCATTAATGTGAGTGCTAGTGATGGCCAGGTCAATCCCATGTGATGAAGAGAAACCCCCATGCTTTCACGGCTTGCCCCAGGGACTTCGCCTGTCGGCTCTGATTTCTCAGCCTCCCTGGCCCGTAGCAGGGTGTTGACACCTTTCAGGTTTGTGCGGCCACTTTTCCTGGTTCTCGCTGGCTGGTATCTGATGTGTGTGCCTGGCCTATAGGGGCTCTGTTTCCGAAGGCCTTTGAACTTCAGGGTACAAAGCGGAAGATAGGGGCTGGGCTGGCCTACTCTGAATTTCCTGCCTTGCACCCTCCACGGGAAGCCATGCACCCACACCTGGCCACTCAGGAGCATGCTTGAAGATCTTAAAGTTCAAAGAATTCTTTTTTGCCCACTGAAGCCCCTTCACGGATTTGGCCTTGGGAACCCAGTCTTTCTGGGTGTTTCAGAGCCCAAGTGCTGGGGTGGGAGGCTGGATTCAAATCCCTGAGGTGTGCTACCTTGAACTTGAGGCCTCAGTTTCTATTTTTGTCTAATGGGAGTGGTGACGTTGGATAGCTGTGTTCTAGACTTGGCTGTAACTGACTGTGTGAGCCTGGGCTGGTAAATGTTCTCTGAGCCTTACTTCTTCAATGATGTAGAGGTGCCGGGGCAGGGGATCTCAGGGCTCCTCTGGGGGAGCTCTTCATGACCCTTAGCATTTCCATCTTGCTTCACTGCTCGGAGGCCGGGCATTATGGTGGTCCCCTGGCCACCTGGTCCCCTGGTGGAAACTTTGTGTGTGTGTGTGTGTGTGTGTGTGTGTGTGTGTGTGTGAGAGAGAGAGAGAGAGAGAGAGAGAGAGAGAGAGAGACAGAGAGACAGAGAGACAGAGAGACAGAGGAGAGAGAGACACAGAGATAGAGACATAGATGGGAGGCTCTCTTTGGGACTGAAGGTCATGCAGCACTCCCTGGGGACCCTGCAGATAGAGAGGGCATTGGGGACCCTTCTACACTTCAGGGCAGTGGGGCACCTTTCTTCTACACCTTAGCACTT